AATGGAATATTTGACAGTGACGCAATACGAAAGAACCCAGGTGCAAATGAATGAGAATGTTAAATGAATTCAATCAGTTTAATGATCCATGTCATTAACAATTCATTCAGGATGAATGGATCTCGTCGCTGAATTATGTCGTAAATTGAGTAAGAAAAGTGTGACTGCCTTCAAGATACTGAAATAGTAAATGCTATTCTGATAAGAATGCTATCAGAGCGAGGACACCAAAAGCCGAAATAACAATATTTACGTTTCCTAGTTTACAGAAAAGCATTTGACAAGCTTAAATAATTATTTATAATTAACAGATATTACAATTTAATCAATAATATAACATAACAACGGCTTCAATATAAACCATAAAAAATAAATAAATAAATTTAATTTCGAAGAAAAATTTAATTTCGAAAACTTTACAACTGAAAGAATAACCTACAACTGAAAAAACGAAGACCTAAGCAAAAGCAAAAATTCATGCGCGTGCGCGTTTAAAAAAAGTTTGAATTCATGAATACACATAGAACCGTTTGAAAAAGACGCACATAATTTGAAAAAAGTCGAAATATCTTTAAAAAAAACAGAACCCCTTGAAGAATGGTCACTACCAAAAACTTCGTAGTCGGGGAAAACAACAAAAAATGATATTAAAGTTTATAATATATATATATATATATATATATATATATATATATATATATATATATATATATATATATAAAGGAAGATAAATATGCGTAGGAGTAACTAAAGAAGACTGGAAACAAAGAAACTACGCGCACAAAGCATCCTTTACAAATAGTAAGTACGCGATTAGCACAATGCTTTCTAAATATATCTGGGAGATTAAAAACAAAAAAAAAAACAAATCATACCAAAATATCGTGGAAAATAATGTAAACAGCATCAGCCTACAACAATAATCTCAAAAACTGTAAACTCAGTCTGGAGAAGAAAATAACTATAATTACTTTCCCAGACCAACAAAAATTACTAAATAAATGATCGGAACACCTCTGAAAATACAAATCGCAAACTGAAAAAGAATATGAATTAACAAAATATAAATAAATAAAATCAGTAATCAAATATAAATTAATCAAAACTAATAAATAAGTAAATAAACTAAGTAAATAATTAAAAAAATAACAAACGACGAAGGCAAACATAAACACGTAATAACAATCAACAATAACATAATCAATAATAAAAAAAAAAGTTAGCAAACAAAATTATATATCACCCAAAACTTCATCCGGACCCATACTTATTCGCACTCTATAACTCCTATAATAATTCAAAATATAATCATTATCGTCCTAGGAACCAACAGCCAGATACCTGCACCTATTATTTGATTATAGAGGTAAAGGTTTTATGCAGAACCAACCACCCTTTTTGAAGAGCCGAATAAAGACACCGGGTACTCTACGTGACACAAGGTCCCCAAATGACCCTCCGCAAATTGTCCTAGACCAGTTGCCATCCAAGGCTATAGAACCCAGTCTTTTCTACTATTAACCCATAGCTGGGAGAAAAGAAAATTATCCATACCTTTCCCAAGGGTATTAGCACATAAGTGAATATAATGAATTCGATTAGAATCCGAACCGGGCTCTCTCTCTCTCTCTCTCTCTCTCTCTCTCTATATATATATATATATATATATATATATATATATATATATATATATATTAGGTTGTAGCTTCTGTCTGTCCGTCCTTCTTTTTATCGTGTAATTGAACTTCTAGGATTTTGGAGAGAGACCCCCATAATCATATATATCCTGAAACTACATTACCCAGGGTAGTGGGATAAGTATATTTCGTTTTGATCAAAGTGGGCAACCGGAGGTCACAACCTCCAACTGATTTCTTTTCATTTTTCGTTTCAACATTTGGAAGTAAAGTCTGATGATCCGCAGTCCTTCAAAAGGGCTGTGGTGAAATAATTTATTACATAGAACCTTAAAGTGGTCTGTTTTTATTTAAATTATTTGCTCTAGATTTACATTGAGCTCTCTGGATTTTATCCTCCTTGGGTCTACCCATACGGATTACCTAGTTTTCCATAAACTAACTATATATATATATATATATATATATATATATATATATATATATATATATATATATATATAGGGTTTAAATAAGCAGCTCTGAATAGAGTCTGACCCAGAAACTGCTTTCTGGCACAAAAGTGCTACATGTCACAAGAAATGACAGAGCTTTTGAATATTAATTCAAATAACCTGGTCAGCAGTGACTATTATTAATTTCATGCGCTTTCACACAATCATCAGTGACTTGTAATAAGATGAATACTCTATAAACATAGATAATAAATAATAGCTGGCCACTACCAGGGCGGCTAGCCAATCTCTATTGCAGACGATCGCTCAGACACTATGCTGAGTAGACCTTTGTTATAGTGATCAATTTGAACAATGATTTATAGAATCGTGCTAGCACAGCTATCAGCCACACGAGTTTCCGTCTACCCAATTACACTCACTCAGGTTAACACGTGGTATGGTGCCGCACGCAGGCATCGAACTCGAGATCAATCCAGTACGATAAGAAATCGACGATATATATATATATATATATATATATATATATATATATATATATATATATATATATATATATATATATATATATATATATATACATATGTATATATATATATATATATATATATATATATATATATATATATATATATATATATATATATATATATATATATATATATATATATATATATATATATGAAGAAAAATATATACGTAAAAACAAAACAAAAATCCTTATATACAATTATGCAGTTTTAATGTTAATATGTCAACGTCGGACGTTTCGGTCTAATAAACCATCTTCAGGACATATTCATAAATATAACATTATCAATACAACATGACAAAGACGATGTACATAAGAACAAGACTTATCCAAACAAATAACTGAAAGTTTTATAAGATCAGCGCTCCGTTTAAAACATGGTCACGTTGTCGTCACGTTGTCGTCACGTGGGCGACGCTGTGAAACAAGAACAAATATTAAAAAATTAAAATCGTCAGACTCACTGGGTTGTATATTAATATTCTTTGGTTTTTATTATTTCAGTTAGATTCCTCAACTAGTTTCGGCTAATATGGCCATCATCAGGAGAAAAAATAGTAGTAGTGAACTAAAGAAATGAATGACTTGATGGAGAAAATGAACTCAATCTGTAGTTATCATTTTTTAATTTTTTTAACGTATGTGTACGTTCATATATATATATATATATATATATATATATATATATATATATATATATATATATATATATATATATATATGTATATAGATATTTATACATATGTATATATACATATATATATATATATACACACATGTATATATATATATAAATGTATATATATGTATATATACATACATATATATGATATACATATACTGTGCCGCATTTTTATCAAGGTGGTATAAATATATATATATCAAGCTGGTATATATATATATATATATATATATATATATATATATATATATATATATATATATTTGTGTGTGTGTGTAATTCGACCTTACGAATAAATAGATAGATAAATAGATAGAAAGATAGCTCCATTAATCCCTATCCTAACATTTTGATGTTAAATTTTCGTTACATATCTTTATACGTGATTAATATTCACACAAGCTTAAGGGGATTGATAAAGAAAAAGATTATGCTTTCGTAATTTATTAACACATTAAATATTCACACTTGTATATATATATATATATATATATATATATATATACTTATTTAGATACATGTTTGTGCTCTGGCGTGTGTTTGCTTGTACAATTATGTGTTTGTGTGTATAATATTAACATGCTCGTATATATTGACCTGTAAATATTCAACTGGCTCTCGAAATGATTTTGTCGTCGTTCAGTTTAGCCTAGAACACGAATGCATTATTCATCCACCAAAAAAATATCCAAGTACAACTAAGTCCCGTTGAAAATAAGCAAAATGATCAAATCTAAATTTGCGTAAGAGAAGATCGAGACAGAAAGGAAAGGGATTTAAAGAAAATGAAACAAAACAAACGTAGAAAAAAATATAAATACTGAATGGAAAGATCATCTGACGGAGTAGAGAAGCGGGAAAATGTTTAGAAAAAATGAACTCCAATGAGAAAAAAGAACAGTGTTTTTCTTCCTTTTTTTCAGTTGAGATATAATAAGAAAAGAAAACGAACGATAATAGAGGTAAATAATCAAGAAAAAGAATAGAATAAAACGTACTATATGAGTACAATTTTAGATAAGACAATAATATGATAATAAAAAGAAAAAAGTTCGTATTTAGGAGCAGCATTATGGCGACGTGGAAGAAATTAAATAAGGATGGAAAAAAATACAGGGAACAAACAACGTATAAAGATGGGTGATAGATCCGAATGGAATAAACGACATTGAAAGAAAAGTAGAACGAAGATCATAAATTGGTAAGAATTAACGAGTTTTTGTGAACCTGTCAAAGAAGAGATGATAAGAGAAAAAATATTTAGAAAATAAACAAAAGAAAAAAAAAATGGAGAAAGTTATTTGAAAGAAAGTTAAACAAGACAAATCAGATAATAAAGAGATTTCAAGAAAATTTAAAGCTCTCTTCATTTACTTTGTTCGGCAAAGTTGTGCGAATATTTTATGGCATCCGTGTAATACCTTATGATGTCAGCTGAGAATAACATTATAAAGAATATAAGAATGAGTGAAAGTCTGTTGTGAGAATGAGGCCAGAACAAAAGGTAAATAGATCGAAGAATACAAACAATACAATAAGTGAATTATATAAAAGAACCTTTGGTGATGGTTGAAGAAAAAAAGATGATTTGTCGACGGGACGAAATATTTTGGAAAGACAGCTTCAAATGTGCCAGGATTTAAAGGTAAAAGACATCATATATTGATATAAGCTGTTTTCAAAGAAAAAGATCATTAGACTATTTTTGAAGAAAGAAAGAAAGATGAAGTATTTCCATGAAGTAGAATGAAAGAAGTGTGGACATAGAAGGAAAGGAATAAGAAGGCAGCGATGGAAAAAATAGTCAAGATAAATGAGCAAAGTGCTGAAAAGAAAAAAGAAAGAAATTTATTGAGAATAATAAAGTATTTGAGTGTGGAAATATGATAAAAGTCAAAGAAAATATTCTTAAATAGAAAGAAAGAAAAAAGAAAGAAAGAAAAAAGAAAGAAAGAAAAAAGAAAGAAAGAAAAAGAACTAAATAAAGAAATTTATTGAGAATAATAAAGTATTTAAATGTGGAAATATGTTAAAAGTCAAAGAAAATATTCTTAAATAGAAAGAGAGAAAGAAAGAAAGAAAGAAGGAAGGAACATTTGGGAAGAAAAACATGTGTTTTCTTAAGGCGCAATGAACAAAATATGGAGAAAGATAAGAGTCAAAGAAAGAATAAAATAAATTGACGAAAATAAATGAAGAAAAAAATCTAGGAAGGAGAAAAAAAGCATAAAATAGAAGTGAAATACGTCAATATCGGACGAGAAAAGAAAGAGACGTGACAAGAAATGAGAATCGGAGAAAACTATGCAATTTAGGAAAATGAAAACAAAAACAAAACTGAAAAGTAAAGAGGCGATAATCACGAAGACGATTGCTAAAGAAGGAAAAAATAGAAATATCGACATTCGCGTGTATTGAATGCAACGAAACTGTTTTTTTGAATAACAAGGACAACATTTTCTCTTTCAAGTAAGAACGCAATTCTGAAAAGCATCGTCGGCTTTCATCACTTTATTCCGCTTTGAATAGCTGTTATAATGTGTTCTGAGATTGCTGCAATGTCAGTTTATTTCATTATTAAAACTTGAACAAAAAGCATAACATGAGTAATTTTAACATTTTTTTTTCAGGCATATGACAAGACAGAAGGATACTTGACAAATCCTACATAACTTGAAAAAAAAAAGAGCAAAGAACGAAATATTTGAAGAGATAATAAAGAGAAAAATAGGAAAGGAAAGGAAATATGGAGAAAGGAAAGAGAAATAAAAATCGACATGAAATGAATTACGGGTAAAGTAAAAGTGCCGGAAAGCGAAATAAAAAGAAGGATAAGCGGAAACACCAAGAAACTGCTACAATAAAATATCATTGGTTCATTTATGAAAAGACTATGTAAGAGAACGAAAGATGGGATAATAAGTGAGAAAAATTCATATAAAGACAAAACAAAATCTATATAAATTACGAGATGAAAATTAAAGACAATTTGCGACAAATAGAACAAAGAGAGCGAAGTAGATTAAGAAAGGAATAATGTGAGAAGAAAAGAGAAGAAACAGATTCTAAGAGAAGAAGGAATAAGTGTCGTAAACTTCATGAATACTGAGATATTGAGGAAAAAGAGAAAAACATAGAGGGAGCGGAAGGAGAAAAATGAAAAAAAGAAGTGAAAGAAAAGAAAATGGATTAAGAAGGCGTGAGATAGAAAAAGACGAAGAAAGAAAAGGTTTTGCGGAAGGAGAATTCAAAGATGGAATAGGGGAAAAATGAAGATATTGAAAAAGACAAAACAGAAGAATGTGAAAAAAGAAAAGAAGTTGATGAAGTAACAAGGAAAAAAGGAAAAACAAGCTAAAAGTAAAGAGAAAGAAAAGGCAAAAGACAGAAGGAGAAAGATAAGAATGTAGCTAAAAAGGTATTTAAAAAAAGCGAAAGAAAGGAAAAATTACAGTGAAATAAAAGAATATCAAATATTATAAATTTCGACATTAGTCTGATCCTAGAATTGACAAAAAGAGTCTATGAAGAATAACGATGGAATAAATTGAGAAAAGTGTTGAAAAAAAAAAAAAGAAAATACTAAAAATAAGCGGGACATACTTGGATGAGATAATCATGTGTCTAAAAGAAAACTTGATAAAAATATACGAGAAAATGATATATAAAAATAAAAAGATACGAGAAAGAAAGAAAAGGAAATGAAAATCAAGAGTGAATAATGGCGCTCAATATGGGAATCGAAAAGAAAGTGTTAAGCAACGGAAGAGGATTGAAAGGAAAACAAAGGATACCCTAAAATTGAATTTGAAATATCAGAAATTACAGATAAAATCCGCCAGAACCGAAGGCATTAAACAAAATGAGAAGAACTGGTGGAATTTGATGGCATTCAGTTGGATGAGGAATATTTTTGCTACTATTTATTCATTCAAATTTTGGATATTCAAGAGATTTTCCAGCAAATTATTTCTTGATTAACGTATGAGGCGACACTCAATGCAAATAACCAGTTTCCCGCTTCTTTTTATTGCGTTTACATACTTGAAATCACGCTCTTTACAACAGACATTTTATTGTTGCACGATTGTGAATTGTGGAAACCAAGTACATACTGTTACGTTTATGGCATTTAATGCTCATTAAAATTTGCAAGCTGAAACACACATTGTACGAAAAAGTGTTTCTATTCAATGCACTCTTTGTGAATATTCCTCTTGATTGCCCGCAATATGTGCACTTGTACATTTTATTGCATTATTCCCTGTGCTATATTAATTTGCATGGATGTTTTATGAAAGCAAATTTGTTTGCAATAATATGTAAATATATGGTGATCGCATTTCTACTTGAACTTCGCATAGAATGTCTTATAATAAAACGGTGCATCAGTTGCGGGTGGTATATTTGGCCTGCAAACAGATATTAAATGGCGGAAGACGACAACAGACAAAACAAAGACTTGAGTAAAAAATATATTGCCAAGTTTATTTTTGTTAGAGAAAATACCTAAACAAAAATAATGTTACGGTGCACTAGGCAAAAAAAAACTCTGCAAGATCATGTAGAGGGTTGTCGGAAGACAGATAGCTTTAGTAGTCGCTAGAGAGCGATGTCCTTATTTCAGTTCAGTGATCGCTGAAGAGAGTTGTCCTGAATAATCCAATTCAGTTATCGCTGAAGAGAGTTGCCCTGAATAGTCCAATTCAGTGATCGCTGAAAAGAGTTGTTTTGAAAAGAACAGTTTTGTAATCGAGGAAGGGCATTGTCCTGAAAAAGATAATTTAATGTATATCGTTGCTGCTGGCGAGGATGGCTGGAGCGTTGGGGGAGTACTGGAAATGGCTGCTGCTGAAACAGATACTACACATTGGTACTCGGCATCCATTGTTTATTCATTCCCCGACGAGAATGAGATGTGACACAAGGTCGGATTAATGTGGGAACCCGAGTGCGTGCACCCGAGCGCGTGCACCCGAGCAGGGACAAAAATTCTCCTCAGCCCCCTCAACCGTCGGTTGCGCAGGCCTCTGTGCGTGCACCGATCCCTCCCTGTAATGGGAGTGGGGCGCGGCCTCGGGCAGCTGTTCCCCAGGGCTGGGCACCTCTTCTGTATAATTTTCCTCAGTTGCCCCTCTGTTCTTTGACAGAGAAGCCTCTGAGCGCACTCTGTCCAAGGACAGAGACGAAACTGAGAGATGATAAGTAGATGGGTACCTAGTAAGAGTAAGTTACACACAAAAATGGTAATCGGCACCACGACCATGGAACGTCCATTTTGTGCTGCTTTTAAAACCTTATTATATCCTGAATCAGTCTTGCAACAAAGCACATTAAGCTTTTTCTTCCAGTTGTTTTTTTTTTTTAATTCGGGAATGCCGACAGGATATATCTCATCTCATTGCGAACACATACACGGATACAATATTTACGCCAAGCAAAAAAAGCTCACTCTGCGACGTATTAATCTTCCTTCTTTTTAGACGAGTTGTTTTAATCATTGTACTCAGAGTAGTTTATATTTTGTTTTTCTCCCTTTTTTTTTTTTTCTTACTTTTTATTTTTATCTATGTCGGTACAACATTTGACCTTTCTTTGCAGTCTGTTCTATCGTGAAATGTCGAATCTAGCTCTGAAGAATCGTACATTTCCCTCTTGTATAATTTATCTCTGTTGCCTGTGTTTGTTATTAGAATTGTTTCCTGATATACGCACTGATCCCGTGACCTTCCAGTAAACTGGGTGAACCATGAAAACTAGTATTTATTGGGTTATATTTACGAAACCTCAAATTTATTGCTTCTTTTCTTGTTGATAATCATTAGTGATAGAGTAAACTAAATACAAAAGATTTAAATGTACGTATAGATGTCTTTTTGCGTCCGTACGTGTTTTCAAATTCTTATGTTCAGGCTGATGTTTGTAAAGAAAGCTCTTGGTACGTCATCAGATATGTTTGTGGGTAGTCGAGTAAGATGAGGACGCACACCTGCCACCAGCGGAGGGAACACCAGATATGCTGTCTTCTCTGCGGCATTTTTTTTGGCTAAAAGAGATAAAAAGGAGTAGAACCTCTCTTTATGCGATGGTTTTAGGAATGCCATGTTTGTTGTTTGGAGAATGCCATGTTGGTTGTTTGGAGAAATCCTTTGGCAGACAAGTGGGATATTCCGTCACCATATGCGTTAGTTCATAGTTGATTGTGCTTATAAAATAACTATATATCTGTTGTATTGTGATTTGCCTTATAAAAATGTTCTTAAAATCCAATCTCTAGTCCGTTCTCGCGTATTTTCTGTAAGGTTTATATATATATATATATGTGTGTGTGTGTGTGTGTGTGTGTGTGTGTGTGTGTGTGTGTGTGTTGAATATAAGAGACAAGGAAAATTTTATGAATTTTTTATTTAGGTGGGAGTAACGGCGTGCAAAAAGGCTCTGTGTTGTCCATTCTCCCAAGCGCTTTACGGCCACGTTTGTATACCATTTTCAAGGGTTTTTTTTAGCAAACTCCCCTACTTCCAGTAAACTGAAAAATGTTGGAAAGACTAAATAATAAATTCGTCAAATTGGGCTTGTCTGTCATATTACACGAAACATGTTTAAAAGATTATTACTTAAATATACTTGATGCACACATATATATATATATATATATATATATATAAATGAGAATTAGTCTGTCTATATTTCTGAGATGAGGTATTCTGTACAGTATTTACATTAGTCGGACTATTGTCCTCATCTTTGTCACAACGTTTCGGCCGTTGTACGCTCCGGCCTTCTTCAGGTGGTTGGAATTTCGAACTGAACCCTTTATTTCGATCACTGGGGTAGACTGTTCTAGTTCCACGTGCCATGTCAGTTATCAGTTATTTCCTGCTAATTTTCCCTCTGAAAGTTCTCCACTGCCTTAACCAGGTATTGAACTCACCTTCTTTGGGTCTGTCACTGGATCTAACCAACGCCTTTATCCACTGTGCCATGTGTCCTTGGGTATGAACTTCTGAGTATTATAAACCTAATGTTTTCAGCATCATTTTTACCAGTGCTCATATTGCAATTTTGCTGTTATCATTGCATGTCTTTACCAGAGTTCATATTGCAGCTTTGTTATCATTGCTTTTCTCTGGCACTCCTTATTACTGGTTCCTATATTGTATTTATTTCTATGCTTGGTCGGCTCAGGAGTTTTTTGTGGCCTAGCATATGTGCTGATTCCTTAAGTTTACGAATTTTCCAATGGTGTTCCCTGTCGATGATCTCAACATGATCCCACAGAGATATCTGCGAAGTGTTCTCACGCTTTTGAAGGTTGTCCTGATGTTATATGGACCACAGATCCTTTGTATTTTCTCTGATAACCCCTTCACATAAGGCAGGCAGACTGTTTTCTGAGTGTTGTTGTCCTCCTCCTCCTCCTCTTGTACCCGCCTATCCCAGTTTTTGGGGGCTGCTGCCATGTACCTGAAGAAGGCCAGAGCGTACAACGGCCGAAACGTTGTGACAAATATGGCGACAAAGATGAGGACAATAGTCCGACTAATGTAAATACTGTACAGAATACCTCATCTCAGAAATATAGATAGACTTTGAAGGATCGGTATGGACCCGATATACCAAAAATATGGAGACAAATTGAGAAATCCTACCAAAAACTGGCACGAATACCGAACCATCTGACATTCCTACATCGATGCAGAGACTTACAACTCATCCCTTCAGGCTTGGCACCAAGACTTCCTATCAATTCAAGGAGAGCTCGTCGGGTCGCAGAGAAAGCGGGACACGCCCTTGTCCGAGAGAGAATCCAGTACAATCGTTGGATGAAACATCGACTACAGGCTCATATCTCCCAGACGCTCGAGGATTTCTTCAACAGAATTACCAATGAAGAAGACCAGAGAAGGATCCAAAATGACTTGGATAAATCCTTCAGACATGAATTTGATGTAGTCACGGCTCGCCAAGTGCAAAAATTAAATAGATTGAAAGATCAGAAGGTGACGCACAAGGTCCATCACCCACCAGTGAAAGCAGTAGTCAACATCAGCCAATATCAGCTGAGTGCCTCTGAGGAGTCAGTGTTGAATAAGTGTCTCGACTTTGCCACAACCATCAGGCGGGTGCCATACTTGGACATCATTGCCAGAGTAGAGGAGGTGGCCTTGAACATCCCTCAGGCCCAGGCGGATGAAATGAGATGGAAAGTGAGACAGGCCTTGGAGAGAGCCAAGCTCCCCAGGTCTAACATAACAAAACTGGAGAGACTGGTGATTGAATCACTACAGAGGAACGAAAACATCATCATACTACCGGCTGACAAAGGTAATGCGACTGTAGTGATGGACAAATCAGAGTATAGAAGAAAACTGGAAGACCTCCTTAGCAATGGTAGCTACAGCATAGTGAAGAAAGATCCTACTATGAAAACGGAACGCAAACTGTCACAGATCCTAAACAAGAACAAGGATCACTTTACACCCAAGACGTATAGGCAGTTATCGCAGCGTTACACCAAGTTACCTCACATATACGGTCTCCCTAAGATTCACAAAGACGGTATTCCGCTCAGGCCGATTGTTAGTTGCCAAGACTCTGTGTGCCACTCCCTGAGTCGCTTCCTTGTAGATATAATTGACCCATTGATCGTAAAGTTTCCTTCATATGTCCGAAACTCCGCCCACTTCGTGGAAATAATCAAAGATGCTCCCATCCTGTCCAACCAGATGGTGAGCTTGGACGTGGTGAGTCTGTACACCAAGGTACCCACGGAGGAGGCACTCTCAGTAGTCAGAGATAGATTGACCTCTGACTCTTCCCTAGAGGAGCGGACCAGTATTCCAATAGATAATCTGATAGAGATGTTGACTTTCTGTACACAAACAACACACTTCGGAATGGGATCACACATATATCGACAGGATGAGGGCTTAGCAATGGGCTCGCCATTATCACCAGCAATGGCGAATATATACATGGAATACTTTGAAGAAATGTCATTAGAGTCTATATCGCTAAAGCCAACTATATGGTTAAGGTACGTAGATGACACCTTCATACTCTGGCCACATCAGGAAGATGTCCAGGTTCTACTGGACCATGTGAACTCAATAAGACCTTCGATACAGTTCACAATGGAGAAAGAGAGTAACAACTCACTCCCATTCCTAGATGTACTAATATCTCGAACAGAGCCTGGGTTCAAGACATCCGTATACCGTAAACCAACATTCACCGGACAGTACCTCAATTTCGACTCACACCATCCATACAGCGTAAAGAAAGGGATCGTCCGATGCTTACAACACCGAGCAAAAGTCATAAGTGGCGATCTAGAGACGTTATATAAGGAATTGGTCAGTATAAGTAGTAACCTACAACGTAACAACTACCCTGGGTACATGGCAGCAGCCCCCAAAAACTGGGATAGGCGGGTACAAGAGAAGGAGGAGGAGGACAACAACACTCACAAAACAGTCTGCCTGCCTTATGTGACGGGGTTATCAGAGAAAATACAAAGGATCTGCGGTCCATATAACATCAGGACAACCTTCAAAAGCGTGAGAACACTTCGCAGATATCTCTCACGAGTGAGACCCCCACAGAGAGGAACATGACTATGTGTGTACGCTATCCCGTGCAGCTGCGGAAAGGAATATAAAGGAGAGACAGGCCTCCCCCTCAAGGTAAGGCTTCAAGGACACCAGAAAGCTGTAACACGAGGGGAAGAAGAAAAATCAGGCGTGGCTGACCACATATGGAGAGAAGGAGATCACCGCCCCCTGTGGGATCATGTTGAGATCATCGACAGGGGAACACCATTGGAAAATTCGTAAACTTAAGGAATCAGCACATATGCTAGGCCACAAAAATCTCCTGAGCCGACCAAGCATAGAAATAAATACAATATGGGAACCAGTAATAAGGAGTGCCAGAGAAAAGCAATGATAACAAAGTTGCAATATGAACTCTGGTAAAGACATGTAATGATAACAGCAAAATTGCAATATGAGCACTGGTAAAAATGATGCTGAAAACATTAGGTTTATAATACTCAGAAGTTCATACCCAGATGTCCTCAAGGTCACATGGCACAGTGGATAAAGGCATTGGTTAGATCCAGTGACAGACCCAAAGATGGTGAGTTCAATACCTGGTTAAGGCAGTGGAGAACTTTCAGAGGCAGTGGAGAACTTTCAGAGGCAGTGGAGAACTTTCAGAGGAGGAGATAACTGATAACTGACGTGGAACTAGAACAGTCTACCCCAGTGATCGAAATAAAGGGTTCAGTTCGAAATTCCAACCACCTGAAGAAGGCCGGAGAGTACAATGGCCGAAACGTTGTGCCAAATATGGCGACAAAGATGAGGACAATAGTCCGACTAATGTAATTAAATGAGAATTAATTTGGCAAAAAAAATAGAAAAACGGCACACAAGCTTCGCAAGTAACGGTTATATGAGTAAAAGTGCTTAACTATGTTTTCAAGAAATACACATATATATATATATATATAAACCTCTACTTTGTTCTTCCTATTTTCTCTCCTCAGTAAATAGTTTGATTTTTATTGACTTTATATAGTTTACATACTTTATTTAGTTCTCATCTCACTTTTCATCTTCCCCTTCTAATTAATATACATTTGTGTATTTATATGTGTGTGTGTGTTTTTCAGGAGCTGAATATGATAGAAATTATGATAATTTCATATATATATATATATATATATATATATATAATGCATATATTATCAATCGCACATTTTTATTACTTCAAACGGTGAATATTCGTAATTTTATTTTCATTTTATATGCGTATATATTTTTTTATCCTAAGCAACTGTTTTCTCAACTATTCAAAAAAGTTGCTTTTTCGTTACGACACCATTTTTTTCAGTTATGATACATAAATTTAACTTTGAATTCCTTGAACTCTCTCGACGAATTCTAATTCGTGTGAATTCTTATACACAAAATAACATTTTTTTTAATACAACGAAAATTAAGCCTACACCCAGACATCAAAAACGGTTAAAACCTAACATTTTTTCATCATTTTCCCCCAAAGTAAGGTGATAAAGTAACTAAGACTGAAGGGGTTACTGATAATGAAAAAACGTTATCTAGGATAAATAATAATAAAAGAACAGGATTCAAAAAGACAGAAGGTGACGATTGATGTTATATTGATTTTTTTCTAATATAGTATTTGACATAAAATAAAAAAACGGAAGATAGTTCGACAGGCGTGAGAAGAAACTATTAGAATAAAAATTGCGGTTCCTTTTACCAATTTCAACAGTAAATTATGAAACCTCGATGTCAACCTACAACATCGCTTAAATTCATGAATTTGGGATGTCAAAAAATTGTTATTAAAATATTTATAAAAAGGTCACAAGTAAGTTTCCTTACAACGGTGGAAAATTTATTAAAGATGAGATACTACGTCAAGACCGATAACTTTATAGATTCTTTTTTGACTGATTCATTTTCTACGGCTTATCAACCCTTTGCACATTATTTATAGGCAGAAAATATTTTTAGATTGCAAGAATTATTTTAGATAATAATGATTTAGTGATACATGTCTTATTGGTTAACCCATAGCTGGGAGAGAAGAAGGGGAGTCATATATTTCCCAAGGTTATTTTACACGTAAGTGAATATAACAAATCTAAATGGAGCTGGAACTCGAATCTCCGATTAACAATTTCGAGCCATTATCCATTAAACCGCCCGTACTTCGAGGTATCTAAGTCAGCAGCCCGAGATTTACCATTATTATCTGAAGCTGACAGAAACTTTTGGCAGTAACTGTTAATACATAGTCGGTTGACCTAGAGAAGCGAAAGTTATATTGGCTGCCTGATAAAAGACACTGCCAAGTGAGTTGCTTAAGCAATTCGGAATTGATAAAGCTTATAGTACTCTAGCATAAAAACAAACAAATGTTTTCATATTTTTCAAACTGACACTTTAATGCTTAACAAAAAAGACGTCTGCTACGAAAACTAACATTATGGATGGGTTTTTTTTATCATATAAAGATGAATATTGTTTTAATGTATTTCAGAATAACCGAGAATTGTAGCGGTCTTGTATTCCTTGGAAGATCGTGCTGATAGACAATATGATTCTGTGCTAAAGTACGGTACGCAAACCGATTGTGCAAACTGATCGAGGTGCACTTTAAAAGCCTGTAGACACTTTAGAGTCTGCTCGAGAATTGATTATTATAACAGCTAGTAAAGCGAAGAGTAATGTTTAAGTTGTAACAATTAACAACGTCACGCGCAATTGTTTTAAATCGTTTTATTCTTGTCCGTCAGTTCTCATCTTTAATGTAGACATTTTCGTGAAAAGTAGTCGGCCAAAGAGCAAACAGCCTAAAATCGGAATTCCAACAGAGGTTTTTGCATTCGACTGAACTACTGTTCTCCTTGTTGATGGCAACATATAACTAGTTGGGGAATCCTAAATGTCCAGAAACCGGTTATATAAAAGCAGGTAATCTTTTGGAACCTATTTTTATTATTTTCTTTTCAATCTGAGACTGGAAAGTAATCACTTTATTGTATGAAAAGGCATTAAGCGATTTTGATAATTAAATAGAAAAACATTCAAGAGTGAAATTATGGTCTCGTTATGTTTCTATTCAGATGTAAGATGCTTTTTTACTCTAGTGTCATCAGCTGTATTATGGTTTCTGACAATAAAATAAAATAAATGACTAGACGATGTGACACATTTTGACTAGGTGCGTGCACGAGCGTAGCGTAAATAACATTTTACCTACAACATCGGCTATTAATATATAAGATTATTTTTATATAATCCAACAACTGGTTCGCTAAGCTTTTATGATTTTTGGGTTTGATTCGCGCGAACCGGATCGAACTGATAAAATGCCACCACGGCATATAACCAATAGCATGCAGCCACAGCATATAACCGATAGGATGCCACCACAGCATATAACCGACAGGATGCTAAAATGGCATATAACTGACAGGATACCACCGAGGCATATAACCGACAGGATGCTACCACAGCATATAACCGACAACATGCCACAATGGCATATAACTGACAGGATGCCACAATGGCATATAACTGACAGGATGCCACCACAGCATATAACCGACAGAATGCCACCACAGCATATAGCTGACAGGATGCCACAATGGCATATAACCGACAGGATGCCACAATGGCATATAACCGACAGCATGCCACAATGGCATATAACCGACAGGATGCCACCACAGCATATAACCGACAGGATGCCACAATGGCATATGACCGACAGGATGCCACCACAGCATATAACCGACAGGATGCCACAATGGCATATAACCGACAAGATGCCACAAAGGCATATAACTGACAGGATGCCACAATGGCATATAACTGACAGGATGCCACAGTGGCATATGACCGACAGGATGCCACCACAGCATATAACCGACGGGATGCCACAATGGCATATGACCGACAGGATGCCACCACAGCATATAACCGACAGGACGCCACAATGGCATATAACCAACAGGATGCTACCATGGCATATAACCGACAGGATGCCACAATGGCATATAACCAACAGGATGCTACCACAGCATATAACCGACAGGATGCTAGCACAGCATATAACCGACAAGATGCCACAATGGCATATAACTGACAGGATGCCACAATGGCATATAACTGACAGGATGCCACCACTGCATATAACCGACAGAATGCCACCACAGCATATAGCTGACAGGATGCCACAATGGCATATAACCGACAGGATGCCACAATGGCATATAACCGACAGCATGCCACAATGGCATATAACCGACAGGATGCCACCACAGCATATAACCGACAGGATGCCACAATGGCATATATCCAACAGGATGCCACCATGGCATATAACCGATAGGATGCCACAATGGCATATAAATGGCAGGATGCCACAATGGCATATAACTGACAGGATGCCACCACGGCATATAACCGACAGGACGCCACCACAGCATATAACCGACAAGATGCCACAATGGCATATAACTGATAGGATGCCACCACAGCATACAACCGACAGGATGCCACAATGGCATATAACTGATAGGATGCCACAATGGCATATAACTGACAGTATGCCACCACAGCATATAACCGACAGGATGCCACAATGGCATATAACTGACAGGATGCTACCACAGCATATAACCGACAAGATGCCACAAAGGCATATAACTGACAGGATGCCACAAAGGCATATAACTGACAGGATGCCACAGTGGCATATAACTGACAGGATGCCACCACAGCATATAACCGACAGGATGCCACAATGGCATATGACCGACAGGATGCCACCACAGCATATAACCGACAGGACGCCACAATGGCATATAACCGACAGGATGCCACCATGGCATATAACTGACAGGATGCCACAATGGCATATAACCAACAGGATGCTACCACAGCATATAACCGACAGGTTGCTACCACAGCATATAACCGACAAGATGCCACAATGGCATATAACTGACAGGATGCCACAATGGCATATAACTGACAGGATGCCACCACAGCATATAACCGACAGGATGCCACCACAGCATATGGCTGACAGGATGCCACAATGGCATATAACCGACAGGATGCCACAATGGCATATAACCGACAGCATGCCACAATGGCATATAACCGACAGGATGCCACCACAGCATATAACCGACAGGATGCCACGACAGCATATAACCGACAGGATGCCACAATGGCATATAACTGACAGGATGCCACCACGGCATATAACCGACAGGATGCCACCACAGAATATAACCGACAATGCCACCAGCATATAACCGACAGGATGCAATGGCATATCCGACAGGATGCCACCACGCCATATAAATGGCATATAACCAACAGGATGCCACCACAGCATATAACCAACAAGATGCCATGACAGCATATAACCGACAGGATGCCACCATGGCATATAACTGATAGGATGCGACAGGCCATATAACCGACAGGATGCCACCACAGCATATAACCAACAAGATGCCACAATGACATATAACTGACAGGATGCCACCACAGCATATAACCGACAGGATGCCACCACAGCATATAACCGACAAGATGCCACAATGGCATATATCCAACAGGATGCCCCCGCAGCATATAACCGATAGGATGCCACAATGGCATATATCCAACAGGATGCCACCGCAGCATATAACCGACAGGATGCCACAATGGCATATAACTGAAAGGTGCCACCACGGCATATAACTGACAGGATGCTACCACAGCATATAACCGACAAGATGCCACAAAGGCATATAACTGACAGGATGCCACAATGACATATAACTGACAGGATGCCACCACAGCCTATAACCGACAAGATGCCACAATGGCATATAACTGACAGGATGCTACCACAGCATATAACCGATAATATACCACCACAGCCTATAACCGATAGGATGCCACCACGGCATATAACCCAGTACAATCTGAAGTGGAGATGAGAAGCGTTAATGAATCTTCATGGGAACAGGTTGAATACGCATCGATCTACTATGCTATGGGATAATTTATTTATGTTGAATTATGCGAAATAAGTTTTTATGACATGTTTCTTCAGGACGTAGTCAGTCATGGCTCTCCACAGATTCTTCTTTTTTACTATTATTATCTGTGAATTGCCGTGACTACTTGAGAATGATTGTGAAATACTATCCCGTTGCTTTCTCCAGTTCTGACCTCAGGTTATTCTTTCTCTTATACTGGTTACTACTCAAATCTATTTAATTTGCTATTTAACCCATAACTTGAAGGGATAGAAATACATTAATTTCTAATCGAAGTGTATTTTCGCGAATATAGCAGATTAGACCAGAATTTAAATACGGTTCTACCTACGTCGATTTGTGCTTCGTAAAACGCCTATATTTACTAAAAATAACCCGTCTTTATATATATTGAAGCCAAGCTAAATGACTATTTAATTATTCAGTTTACTATCTTTGCATTTGTAGGTATTGCAGTGCGTATCGTACATAAATAAGTGTGGTCGTACGCACAAAGACATGTAACACGGCCTCTCACTGTACAGCTGTAGAAATCTAGTCTTATAGACCGTGATGGTCTAATAATACTGTAGAGAGTTCGAACCTCCTAGGAGGACTCTCAGTTGCGCATTTGTGCCTACCTTTATAAACGGCGGCGACGACGACGACGACGACGACGACAGCTTCTCAAACCAACGCTCAGTGTTACTGAGATTTCTGTAGCAATTCGGCTTTTATACAGGATGTTGCCAGCCCTACACGCAACCGGTTTTTTATTTCAGAAATATAATTATTCTTGTCCGTTTGGCAAGCAAGGCTAGAGAACTCGCTGCGGCCTGCTATTTAACCCGTAGCTTAAGAAAAAGAAATTTAATATTTAAATGTTTCCTCGACCAGAATTTGAACTCGGCACGACGATCGTACTTTTCCGCTAAGTACATATTCATAATTTTATTAAGCGTACAAAATATATGTACGCTTACATAGCACAAGGCTAAAAGGTTACTCTCGCATATTCATCTAATACTCTAAGGGCTTCTGTCCTTCTGGGGTACCCCGAAGATGTGAAGTCGTGTCAGCCAAAGTTTTAAAAAATCGATATATACATATATAGCGTGTTTGCCGTGACGCGATGTTAAGAGACCAAGAGTAACAATTTCTGTCTTCACAGGGTACTCGACGACTTTGTGCTTATGAGAACAAAATGTAAGTTTAGAAAATAATGCCAACGAAAATGAGAGATTATGTGTAAGGACATTATTGGAATGTATTTGTAAATATTTAATATAGATAAATGTTATTAGCTGACAGAAAATGATACGTGTTTACGACATTGCTCGGGCTTCCAGTGTCGAAACTGTCCAGTTGTCGAAGCTATATCCAGCTTTAAAAGGATTTAATCAGCTATACAGACAACATTGTTCCAATAGTAATATCCGTGTCTTCAGATAAGAATTCGTATGTGACAGGTGAAACTATAAGCATGCTGTGCTGAGGGATAATTGCCATACTTCGGAATAACGCAGAGGTCTGAATGGTAGTATTGTATTCCGTTTTTTTTTTTAAACAATTTTTTATAAGTCATTTTAGAACAACCGAAGAGGCTAGAAAAAAATAAAATATTGAAATGTGGAAAAGAAATGAAATTATAAAGAGAAAAATGAAAACAACAAGAAAAAAACTTGCAGTGAAAATAAGAAAGAAATGTAAATAAAAGACAAAAACAGAAAAAAATGCAAAACACTGTAAGACAATTATAAACTTAGAAAAAGAAAAGAAAGGCGACCCTTGAAAGGGGTCAAGAGAGCTAGGTGGTCTAGAATTGTAACCACTCATAAAAGCTTTCGCGATTTGATAAGAAAGATTGAACGAGTTCAAAAATTCGTCCAGAGTACTATAATCGTTCAACTTGTGAATGATGATAGCAAAAATCATGAACGAAATTATATGTATATTGTTCAGTGAAGACTTACTTCTAAGTGGAGAGTCAGGCAATGACACTCTTGGTGAGTCAGGAGTAGAATTTGAAGAGAATTATACGTTAACACCTCAGATTGAGTAAAGAGAGAAGGGATGGATAGGAGTCTTACTCTTATTTAAGACACTAATCCGCCAGTAGTTCTTAAAGTCAAATTTTTAGAGGCGACATGATACCATATTCTATAAGCAAAGGAAGACGTAGCCTCTTTTTGGGTAAGTTTATTATTACTACAAGCAGACACAAATAGGCGTCTATTGTAATCGAAATTATCACACAGGAACACGTGGATGGAGTGATTCCTGGGGGCTATAGAAGCTGAACAGGGCGGTGTGAATGAAAAAGGATATTTTACTCTTTAAATGATTTTCCAGTCCCCATTTTATTAAAATCTCTGTTTACAACATATTGAGAAAATTTCCACCATTCCCATTATTATGACCCCTTCTTTTTATTAGTTACCTAAGACTATGTGTGATGACAGATTAGTTGTTATTTTGAGTTTGTAGTATAAGAAAAAAGAAGAATCTATATGTGGGAGGGGGGCGCCAGGGGTGCTTGATCCCCACTGGTCTCTCTGCACTTGCGGTCTTACGGCCATATGACCTTGGAACACCGCTTCTCGTCCGATCACCGACGTTAATCAATGTCGAGCCTGGAAAGCGAACTAGATGCGTAAGCCATTTGGGAAATACCAGGTACTGTAAGCATCGATGTGCAGCCGGTGTAGTGATTACTGCCTCGGAATTGGAAGTCGGATATCAATAAGATATTTAGGCGTGTATCACAAAATTTTACAGTACAACGCAAAATTTAATAAGGTGTCTTGCAGTGAGTTGTCTGTCCTTATTCTCTGCATGTTATTTCCAATTAATTCAAGTTTGTGATATCACAATGTCGACCAGACACGCCTTTGTGTGTACGAGTAATGTTCTATCAACAAAACGTATTTTTCAGAACTGCCTTCCAATTTCCTTTTTGCGGATATTATAAAAAGAAAAGCTTTTTTTTCTAATGAATTAAGAGTACTTTTTTCCAGAACTTATACAAAAATGAACCGACGTCATTGCACTTACGAGGTTCATTGAGTGATAATGGCATTGCTACTATGAGTTACAATTATCTACATTCAAAAACAACATACTGTAAATTGAATCTCAACGATACAAAACATCTCAACGATAAAAAAATAGAATGACAAAAGGAAGAAAATGATGACATATGTATGCGTATTGATCATGAGACACAGGTTCGGATATAACCATGGCCGATTTATCAGGGATGTGACAGTTTTAATGTTATCAACCCGGGGAGGCGATCCCATTGCGCAGCACTGTTGCGAAGTGCGCGAAAATACTACCGCGTGTTGGCCCATAATCTGTGAGTGGAATTGGGTAGACGGAACTCTTTAGAAACATGAAGTAACAAGTCCTCATATACGAGTCGTTGGGCGTACTGGCCTTACTCAAACTATTGATAACGCCAGATTATGCGCCCTCTCGCAGAATCTGTAACTAGTGTCCGCTCAGCATAGTTGCATTATAAATCACAGGGGAGCTATTTGGATTTTGAACAGACACAGATGAGCCTAAGTTGACCTCTGCAATAGGGATTGGCTATCTGCCTTAGTTGCCAGCTGCGCTCTGAAACGAGTAGCCGGTCATTATATATATATGATTCCAAAACGCTACATAAGAAGTCTCATGTTTCAAAACAAGAGCCGAAAACTTCAATATAATTATTTAAATTAAATTGAGTTAAAATAAGGTCTGTTCCATCTTCAAGCGATTTTTTTGGGATTCCCCCCCCCCCAAAAAAAAGAAATTCCGCTTGATTTTTTTAAATTTTTTACATATATATATATATATATATATTGAGATCAACACCCAGCATGGAACAGACTGTCACCGTTAAGAGTTGACCTCAAGGAACATTCCTTTTATACTTACATACGCTCTATCCGTGATATCGAGTAAATAAATAGTTTACCTATCCGTGATATATGACTCATAAATATATAAAACCAGAAAACTATATATATATATATATATATATATATATATATATATATATATATATATATATATATATATATATATATATATATATATATATATATATATATATATATATATATATATATATATATATATATATATATATATATATATATATATATATATATATATATATATATATATATATAAATATAACATATATATATATATATATATATATATATATATATATATATATATATATATATATATATATATATATATATATATATATATATATATATATGTATATATATACGAATACAAGGTTGGTATAGATGGAATAACCATCCAGTAAACAAAAAACAATATTTTTTTAAAAAGTGCTCAATGCAGAGTAGAGCGAATAATATTTACTTTACTTATTATAAAATTGGAATGTTATAACATTACTACAAAAATAGCCATTTTTTGTTAGTTTGTTTTTTTTTACATGCAATACTATCACTCGAAACAACATAGCTATTTTTGTAGTCATGTTATAATATACTTATATACTTATGTTATAATTTATTTATCTATATATATATATATATATATATATATATATATATATGGATGGATGTTTTCGAGCAGATTACAACACGATGCCAGATCAATAAGTCTGGAAAATGATAACTGAATTGTCGTGTGAGATTATAACTATATAATACTCGATAGAGAAGCATTATGTGAAGTGTATTGACAAGAAGGATTATTATATTACAAAATAATGGCTATGTGATATAAACGTTTTTATTATTAATCTATAGACTTATAGATTTATGTCTGGATATAATTCCACGCAGATACTGATTCAAACACACACATGCACTTACACATACAGATATCTGTATCGATATAGGCGGAATTGGACATAAAAATCAATACTGTATGTTGACTACCAGTTTTTTTGCCTATAGCGATTTCTATGTCTATATTGTATATATCTGCATACAGAGAATCTCCGATATTGAGCATTCTCCTCCCCCCCATAAATATAGCAAATTTTTTAAGCATATATATATATATATATATATATATATATATATATATATATATATATATATATATATATATGTCCTATTGAGGCTCATAAAATAAAAATCTAAAAAAATAAACACAAACGAGTTCTTACCTATCGTGTTAAATCCAACCTCTATTTCGATCGGGTAGTTTTGCCGTAAACTATAAACTGAAAATCAAAATGACGTATGCGAGATATATGTAAAGAGGACATGAAACAGTGCCAGTGTAACTTCGGACACAGAATCTAACTGAAGGATTTAAGCCTTCAGTTTCACGTAAAATGCGAACACTTACAGGTAATTCAAGAACGATAACGCATTAGACTGACAAATAGTGTTAACTGACAAATAAAATAATCCTCCATAAAGTTGCCGATCATGGCTCCCGACAATTTCCTGTTCTTTGTAGCTCTTAATACTTTTGTCTTTTTGTTATTTCTCGTTGGATATGTTATGTTGTTTTCTCTGTTGCTCTTGACTTCAATATGTTCTGTGAGCATCAAATTATTCAAGACATTGAGGTTTCTTCTTAGACCAAAGTTGGCATAGATGCTTTTATTCTTTCACGGAAATACCAGGTGCAACCTCAATCTTCTCCTTGGTTCACACTGGCATGTTCTGCCTCTATAGGCCACAGGACAAAACTATTTCCGAAGATACATCTTTGTTTGCTGAAAGTATGAGGCACCGTATTGATTCTAACAATTTTGGCTCTCGTGTTTACCGGCGGCTGTGTAAAAGTGTATTAGATAACAGTAAGTTTTCTGTTCCTCTTCTCTTCAATCAATTTGAGGTGGTAACATCTTCCACCGAAAAAACAGAATGTTTCGCCCGTAAATTATCTTTAAATTCTACTCTTGATGCATCTGGAATAACTTGCCAGACTTTCTACCTAGAACTGAGTTTCTACTGAGCGATATGTATATAATCCCTTCTAAGTTTTCTGCTATAATCTCTAATCTTGATCCCCACAAATAATTTGAACCTGATGCTATCGATGTAATAGATCTTAAGAAGTGGGCCCCTATTCCCACTAACCTGTATAATAAATGACTCTCTGCCTCTTGCCATTCTGCTTGCTGGAAATCTTTATCTGTTGTTCCAGTCTTTAAGAACTCAGTTGAACAGTCCGATCCTTCCAACTATCAGACTATTAACCTTCTACTTCTTTTTGGTAAACTACTAGGGGCCCTAGTCAATTTTGAATTTGTTAAGCATCTCACATTACAGGGTCTTCTTTCAGATAAGCAATATGGATTTCGCTTCTCTAGGTCAAAAAATCAAGCATGTCTAAACTGTTAGCTATATACAACCGCTTTCTCAGATCATTGATTAAAATGAGTCGGTGAGGGAAACCTATCTATCTATAAGTCTATAACAGAAACCAGATCACTTGAGGACTACCAAAAGCGGCAACAAATAAAATGGATAGCGCATGTAACTCGAAGTAAAATAATCACATAATCAAAATGTTAACATTCCAAATAAGATATTACAACTGAAACCCCCAATCAATATTAGAAAGAGCCATAACATCTACTGGACATGAGACAATTAATATCCTGAAAAATTACTTTAGAATAAAAATTTTGTAAATTTCAAACCGAAAGAAGCACTGACTCCTCGGTCAATGAATGTCGAATGTTTTCTTATTATGAAACGTGTTATTATCATTACCATGCATTGTAACAATGCAAAAAACGTAGAAGGTAATTGAAAAATGTGGATGAAATCTCACAATCTTCTTCATAAACGAGATCATATTTAACACAAGAAGAAATGTGTAGAATTGATATAAATAAAACCGTGACATGAGAAAACTCCTCATCGACAGACTAAAACTTAAGAGATAATAACAAGAAAATTGACTACACGATACTTTCAGCAACGTACTTATAAGCAACTGTATTCACATTTCACATAATATGACACAGATTCCTTACTGTAGCTCAAAAAAAGAAAATAATAAGTATTTACTCACTTCTTTTCAGAGAGTGGATGTTCGTGACTCTCCACAAGAGTTATCCTATATAATTTTTAGTAAATTTTATCTTATTACTATATCTTCCAATACCTATTCAGCTACACATTTACACAAGCTCTTTAGGTAAGTTATTCGCTGCTTTCCTCTGTCCAACTTGTCTCCAATATATTCTGTGCGTATCAAATTTTCTAAACCCCCTTTCCTCATTATGTAACTTACAAATTTCAACTGTATATTTCTACGCTATTTTATACTGTATTCAAAACTCTCCCAAGTCTACTAGTTTAGTTTCACTGACAAGTCTATCTTTTTTTTATTATTTTATTAGACCCAAATATTAAAAAATGTAAGCAACTATTTATGCCATAGTATATGCGTAGATGAGAATATGTCTAAGAGAATGAACATAAAATCGTCTAGGTTTCTGAGATTTCAATAAATCCTCCAATGATGGTCGAAAAACTGAATCTCATAAATAAGATTAAAAGTTGCATTTCCAATTTTAGAACTCTTAATTCCCAAAATCCAGAAACTAGATTCCCCATTAACTGGAGAATCTAGTTTCCGGTTTTTTGGGGAAAAATCCAGAAAATATGGATCCTCCAGTTACGCCTAGACAACTGTATTTCCTAAATAAGGCAAGAAATTTAGATCTCCCAGTTGATGTTAGAAATCTGAATCGTCTAATTATAACTAGAAAACAGATATCGCAATGAATTCTAGAAAACTATATTTTCCGATTAATGATAGGAAACTGTACCCTCCAATTATAACTGCAAAAATGGATCACCCATTTAAGGCCAGAAATTTTGTTCTCCAAATTAAAGGTAGAAAACTGGAAACTAATTTTGGCTAGCGCGTTGGATTCTTCAATTAATGCGAGAACCGAATTATGACAACTGCATTTCTAGAAAGTTGAATCCCCTGATGAAAGTTAGAAAACTAGGACAATCAAGTTAGGCTGGAAGATGGGGATCCCTCAATAAAGGTTAAGAAATTTGAATTCCCCAATTAAGACCAGAAAAGTGGATCTAGTGGAGATAAACAAGAACATGTTCAATGTACCTACCGAGAAGAAATGGGATTTAAATGAAATTGACAAAATAGATAAATATCCTTTACCATGGTAGGGTTGAAGAAATCTTGAAATATGAATATGCCAGTTTGAACAGTTGTTATCAGGGTGTTGGGAACTGATTCGAAAAAACCTAGAAAAAAGACTGAAAAATCTATAAAAAGGGAAAATATTGAGACCATTCAGAAGACAGCACTGAAAATACCAACTCGAGTACTGAGGTTATGTTGCAAGTATTAAGGAGAGATGATGTCCAAATTTCTACTAGTTCGAAAATCCGAGTAAAAAAAGTCACTGGGAAATTTGAACTTGTTTATTAATTCCAGAAAATCACAGGTGATAATTTAATAGCTGCAAACAAATAGTTATGATGGGTAGAAATAATTAAATGTTTTTTGTATTGCAAAATCCGTATTATATATTCGTATGAAAGACAATTTGCAATCGCTGTAAAATGTTTATTCATTTTCATATTTCCAGCGTCGATTTCGTCTTCTTTGAGAAGTAAAATAAATAAAAACAATTTCCTTTGAGTGACTTTTACTCTTTCAGAAGATTGAGAAGATATAGAAATATGTTTTGATATGATCAACTGTGCTGAAGACTTCACCAAAAGACAGACGGACGGCAGGATATTTCCTAGATGTACAAACAAAAACATCATAGAATTTTTTTTTCAAATGAACTCATAATAGACTTTGAATGTTGATAAAAAGTATATTGTTACCGTTTGACAGGGTTTTTTTTCTCGTCGCATATGCAAAAGGATGAATTTGTGTGTCGATATTTACAATACCTCGTAAGTAGCGGATGAGAAGTTTCATTTCGCTTAAATTTTAAAATAAAAATATCCATCAAAGAAATGTCCATAGCTCTGAGAAACACTTCACTTATCCAACATTATTCAGCTTTATAATTAGTTTTATAATTTTTTTTGATAATAGAACGTTTCGACTGATCCCTTCTACAATCTTCATTATACATAACCTGTGATAAAACAACAGGGAATAGACAATGAAAAGCTTTCAGCCTGCGAACAATCTTGGATACCCATTGATCATTGTTTTCGAGATGAATGTCAGGTTAATTCACAGTGCTGTAACTGTATTATGAATTTAAAGAAAAATATGGTGTAGAAGTGTTAAGGGGTCCACCCCTTTTTTATATACAAGTGGACTCGGACAGTGTGTACTTGTACTGCTGCCGGTGAATACACGGGAGTGACAGTGAGAAAGTGAGAGAGTAAGAGTGTGAGGTAACCGCCTTGTAGGAGTCACAGCTGCGAGCACGTAGACTCAGAAGAAAGTCATACTTCGATACTGAATTTCCCAGACTGTATATATATTATTATTGCTACTAACCGCATTTCTGGATCTACTAACCGTATTGCCAATTGTATTATTACGTCAATACATTTATTTGCTATATTTCATTCCTGCGTTTGTCATTCATTTTGAGACCGGATTTCCTCCCGGAATCCACAAGAAGAAATAATCATCGGAATAAATTTCATATAGAAATAGAAAAACTATATATGTTTAAATCTTAACAATGGAGAAGATTTAACTACGACTGAGTGAAATTATCTAAATCTGATAGAATTACAATAAATAAATTATGACACGCATATGGTTTCTAAATGTACTCTCCCAGTTATATCCAAAGTGACTGAATAAGTATTTCCTTATTAATTGTCATATAAAGAATGGTATAACCCGATATTCTTTGGGATGTGGGAAACCAGAAATTGGTATTGATGTTTGTTATGCATAAAAATACATAATTAGGGCACAAAGCCTAAAAGAGGGAGGCGTTGGGGCTGGTCAACACTATCTTATACCTAGTACATCGACCCATTCAGTCTTTACAATTTCCATATTCACCATAAAACCTCGTCTGTCACTAATCAATCCTCCATACTACATAATACCGCATCCTATCAAGGGGGTCCTACAAAACGCACCCCATCCCATAAAAATTTAATGATAATAAACAATTATATATAAAAATCTAAAGATGAAGAATGAGAGATCAGGAATTGGTATTTGATTCGGTTGGAAACTCAACAATTGTATTTCTTTCTAATCAAGACTATTTTAACGTGATTGCACAAAGTTTGACTATAGTAACACTAATAAAAACTTTATTTTGAACATTGCCACATATATATTAAATCATGGATTGACATAAAAATAATTCTATCTTTTTCAAAATGTCAATATTCTATGTTGTCAAGTACATTGGTTTACCAACGCCTAGGCTACTTAGAATTTACGAGGAACGGTCAAACATTAATACACTTTAATACAAATTTTTATTATATATCCTACAGTTGCAAAAATTATAAACCAAGGAGTTACCTTCTATTTTGATAGCTGTATTCTTGTTTTAAATGTTTGCCCTTTCACAACATACATATAGCAAAGAGAGTGGACATCGAATTCTTGTTTTTGGAGGAAGAACGCGCTGCATCCATTCACATGAGGTTAGTTATGGAAATGTAAGAAGACAGTTCCATAGAATTAATAAAGTGAATGTCAGTCCCAGATAGAAAGGAAAAATTCGCTTTAGTCAAAGTCTCCACTGGTGTCAAAAAGTTCAAGTCTAAGTAAGTCAATGTTCTGATTGCAACCAAAAGAAAAATAATCATCGCGAAAGTCTGTGAAAACTTTTAAGGGAACCATGGTAATGGTGAAAATTTACAAATCTTTGTACAAAGTGGTTTCCTCAAATACTAAATTTGTTGTCCAGTGTCCCCTCAGGGCGTAGGCGATTATGGCTCTCCACAACTTCTTGTCCTTAGTAGCTCTTAATAAACTTTGTCTTTCTGTTATTTCTCTCCATCCGCCATTCTTTTACTCCAGCTCATTAAGTATGTTGGCTCTCTTGCCCTCTATCTGTCCTGTGAGTATCCAGTCGAATCAATTATATTCACTTACGTGCTAATATACTTGAGAAAAGTATTAATACTCTTCTCCCCTACCGCTATGGGTAAATAACAGGACAGGCCGGGTTCTATAGCCTTGGATGGTAACTAGTCTACAGAAAAAAGAAATGGCAGCATACTGCGGGAAAGAAAACTCTGCCTCGTCAGTCATGTATCGAAAGATCGCCTAAGCGTGTATCATGCATGACACATAACTGACTGATTTGAAAATCATATTAAGTGTAAATAATTTCATTTAGTTTATTATACATCTAAATTGTTGCTACATTATTTAATTTTCGATAGAATATTTACACGCTTCTCTACTTCAAAAAATATATTTCTGTCATATTAATAATTTGTTTCATCTTTTCCTTCTCTGAAATAACGTCAAGCAAATATATAACAATATAACTTTTCATTTTTAATAAAGTTCCATATCTTTATTTTCTTTTTTCTGTCCACTAATACGTATTTTTTTAACTTTTATTTCCTGCTTTAATTCTTTCTTCTTATCCGAAACTAAATGTTCTCTTTTATCTTTTCTACTGATCTTTTTCAATACGCAAAAATGAGAGAATATTTGTGTCTAATAAACAGAAGGAAATTATCACTCCGCCAGTTTTCTTTAATTTTCACTTTATTTTCTTTTTCTTTTAATGTCATATCTCTTGAAGACATGGGTGATCTTGGATCTGTGCAGATTCCTTTTCATTATTATCTGTAAATTGCCATGACTTCCTGGGAAATTTTGGAATAGGTTCTCGTTGCTTTCTCTACTGTTTGGAAATCAGTATTACCTCTCTTAGAATAGATTGTATCCAATACTACAGAGGTAATTTATTATCCTATTTAAACCATAACTGGAGTGGAAAGAAATGGATTCTTGCCTTTGCAAAGGACACTAATGCGAAAATAAAATACATACTCAATATAGTAATTTGTTTTTGACGCCTAAATTTATATTTTAAGGTTTATCTTCTCTTAACTCATTCCACACGCTTTCAAAATTTCCGTTCATTGTCTCTGCATCTTTTTTCACACACGCGCTCTTTCTTTCTCTATTTCACTCTTTTCCTAATCTTTTACTCTTATTTAATTTCGTCATTGTCTTTCACTTGTCTTATATTTCTATTTATCTTTCTCTACTTGAGGATTTTTTCTCGTCTTTTACTTCTTTTTCATCTTCTACTTTTTCTTTATTTTCTTTTTCTTTTTCTCTTCTCTCTCTCTCCCTCTCTCTCTCTCTCTCTCTCTCTCTCGAATCATTTTCTGACTGTTTTCGAAATAATTTTTAATTAATGCTTAAAATTTCTTTCTACATTTATCTATTACTGTCTCTGGATTTATTTTTCTCTTATTCACTTTTCTTTCTTTTCCCCTGCGTCGCTTTCTTTTTTTCTTTTTTTATCTTTCTTTTCTTCTCCTTTATTTCTCTTCTCTATTAGTTTTCTTTTCTCGCCTTCTCCTTCTCTTATTTTTTCTTTCCTTCTCTTTTCTTCTTTGTCTTTTTCTTTTCGTTTATTTTTTTGTTTTTCTACCCCTTTTTTTCTCTTCTCGTTCTTCGTTCTCTTTCATTCGTCTATTTTTTTTCTTTCTATTTCAACTCGTTGCTTTCATTTCTTATTTTTCTAACCTTCTTTTTTTTCCTTATTTTTTTCTCTATCATTTTTCTTTTTCTCTTTCTCTTATTTTCTTTCTTCCCTTCTCTATTCTTCTTCTCTTTCTTTCTTCGTTGCCTTTGTCTCCTTGTGTCTCTCTCTTTTTCTCCTTCCCTGCGTCGTTCTTTTTCTCTTATCTATTTCTTTTCCCTTCCACCGCTGTCTCTCGCTTTCTCTCTCTCTCTTCCTCTCTCTCTCTCTCTCTCTCTCTCTATCCCTCTCTTGTTATTTATCTCTCTCCGTGACTTTACTGCCACCCACTCTGTTTCCAGCATCTCCTTCATTTGCTTTTTCCGACTATTCTCCAACTTCCTTGTGCCGCTTTAGATTTTATAAAATCGACAGATGTAATCGTCAAAGCAAAAAAAAATGGAGAACGAAACCTGTTTCCTTCTCTTTAGTTGTAAGCTCAATTTTACAGCTTTCAGAGCCGAACTACAGATTTTACATGGAAAACTTTGATAGGACACTAGTTATGATGGATTATTGCACCATTCTCCACCAGGGATAGCTTTTATGGCTTCAGCTGGAGTGAGGGTCATTAAATCAGAACAATATCATTGATGTTTGAAATAATGCATCTGCTATCTGGACACGAATTTACTGTGCACCATTTTGGTCTTCAGATGATGTGAGCCAAGGTGAACAGGGTCTGAAAGTGGTTAGCACAACACGCTTGGTTTTGCTATTACTTCAACTACAACAGCATTCGGGAAAAAGTAAAAACAATAATCAACTTCAATCTGCGGCAACGAGATGTGGAGTTGAAACCTACTCTCTCTAACACACACTCCCAGTCTCTATCTCTCTCTATTTCTCTCTCATTCATTCTTTCTTTCTTTCTATCTCTCACCCTCTCTTTCTCTTTCTCTTTATCTCTCTCTTTTTCTCTCTCTCACACTCTCTCTCTTTCCCTCTCTCACTCTCTCTTTCTCTCGCTTTCTCTCTCTCACTCACCTCTCTCTTTCTCTCTCACTCTCTCTCTTCTTCTCTCTTTCTCTCTCTTCCATATTTTTTGTCTAGTTTTTTAAAGAGATTATTTTATTCGTTTTTTTTTTCTTTTTTCTTTTCTTTTTAAATGAATGCGATGAATAGGGAAACGTGTGTAAATTTTGTTATCTCTTCTGTATGAAAAGGCCAGGCAACGTACATATTCAGGGTTTTGAAGATATTCCATAGAATTATATTCCGAGAAAAACTAAGAATGGAAGATCTGCATCGCGCATGCGCGCGTGTAAATTAAATCAAAGGCTCTTTCCGATTTGAATACAGTACAGGCTCAAAAGAATGTGAGCAATGAAAGAAAGGCAAGAGTGGTGAATATGTTCGATTTACGATAGAACATATAACCGAGATCCATTTTGAGATAGACGCTTCTGTCTTATTTTAATATGAATATGCATAAACATGTTTACGCATTCCTTTCTTTTTCGTATAGATTGTAAGAGAAACTATAGAGTACAATAATGTGAATATATTATTAATGCATGAGACTTATTCTTTGCCTCTCTATATATTTCCAATAGCTAACTCTTCATTATATCAGGGATTTATTAGGTAGTTATTTCTACACCTGTACATTTACTAGCTTATAATTTAGTATGTTTTACTGTATGTATTACCAGCCTATATGAACATGCTTTTGTGAATATGAATATGGATATATATATATATATATATATATATATATATATATATATATATATATATATATATATATATATATATATAAAGATAAAGGCATGATGGAATAGTCTCTGGTCATGGTTAATTTTGTTAAAAACCTACCTGAACTTTCAAGATCTTAGAAAATCGGCAGCCAAACTATATAGAAACATAAGGGAAAGTATATCTGTGTACGTCAAACTACAATGGCGGCTTTCAGTGTTAAAATAAAAACTATACTCTCTCAAAGTGAAAATAATTGTAAGTTAAAAAAATAGCTAATTAGTTCGCACGCGAAATATTAAAAAACACAGTATTTAGTATTGGTTATCGCTAACATTTTTTGTCGAGACTTACAAACTCTACGTTTCGTTCAATTTTGCAAACCAATCGATGAAATTTGAATAAGTTGATTCGCTTGAAAAAATACTTCGACAAAACCCTACTCCATGGTTTAATAATTTCTTTAATTTAATTTTATAGGACTTCATGATAATGAATTATTATTTTTTAAAAACAATTTATTTTTCCTGTTTAACAGCGAAAAATAAATTCTAAGGATTTCTTACTCTTGTGCTTGCAACTTACAACTACCAAATTACAAGTTTTTCAAGAGTTTGGCTTTATGCTTTGTTTATAGTTCTCGCAAACGCAGGACTAACTGGATTCTTGTATATAAAAACATAAAGAAAAAATATGTAAAACCTATATTGTATTTTTATTAAATAAGTGATTGTTATTTTAATCATTAAATCGTTTTTTCTTTTGTTTGCTTTTTTTTGTTTTTTTGTTTTTGTTTTTTTTTTTTGCTTGTTTTGTTTTTTTGTAAATAGTGGGAATATTTTGTATGTTGAATCATAAAATTTAATTTTTTCAAAAAATTAACGAAAATTTATTCTATTAAACTACACACCGTAGTAAAACCAACTCTACTTTGTAACTCCATACCTGTTTGTATTTCTCCCTAAAATATGGTTTCGATCGGTCAATGTATGGCTATTTTAGAGGGAGTGATGAACGGACTAACGGGAGTCACGCAATTTTATAGGTAGATTATTTTTTAAAAAGCCTTGTCTTCTCAACAGTTTTTTAACTTTTAATATCTGAAATGATTATAAAAGACATCTTTAAAACAGGAAACTTTATTTATTTTGATAAATACGTCAGAAGAATTCAACTGAAATTGGGTTTAAATTTCAGTTAAATGATGTTTTGAAGCGCATATTCTCTTAATACAACTCTACTTAGGTTTACATGTCTAACAATGAAGAAAAATATCATCTTTTTTTTCTATTTACGGTTTCTTATCAGGACATTGGCGGTCATGGCCCTCCACATATTCCTGTATTTTGTAGCTCATAATAAATTTTGTCTTTTTAGTTCCGCAATCCATTTACTCAAACTCACTGTGTTATGCGTTGTTTTCCTCTGTCCGTCTTGCCTTCAATCTGCCCTGTGAGTATCAAAGTTCGCAAGCCTTCTTTCCTCGTTATGTACCTCAGAAATACCAACTCTTTTTGAGGTTAAGCATAAGTATCCTTTTTTTGTTTCCATTTTCTTTAAAAGTTTGTTGTTACTCACATATTCCGTCCATATTAGTTTCAGCATCCTTCTGTAGAACCACATTTTTGCTGCTTTATGACTCTTCTTTATCTTTGAGGAGATTATCCAGCATTTATTGCCATATAGGAGGCCTGATATTGCGTAATAGTTCAGTACGATTTTCTTTGTTTGTAACGAAATGTTCCTGTTTCTTAATACTTTGCTTGGCTTTTGGAAGCCATTTTCCCCCTCCCAATGCGTCCTGTGATTTCAGTGTCATATTCTCCGTCCTCTGTTAAAACACTTCACAGATATTAAAATTGTTTTACCTGTTTGATCTTTGTATCTTCAATTTGTAATGTGCATGTTTGACTATTCCTTGACTAACACCCATATATTATCTCTTCTTACGATTGATGTTTAGTACCTTTTGTAATTCCTGTGTTTTCTTTTCTATGTTTGCTATCAACACTGTGTCATCGTCATATCTTAGATTGTGTCCGCCAATAACAAATCCCGATAAGACTTCTATTTTTTTTTACACCCCAAACAAAGCAATAAAGCCACTAGGATCCAAACGGTTACTGAGTGATAGAGAATATGAGAAAAACTACTATTAAGGAAACAGAACAATAAAAGGAGAAGGATTAAGAAAACAGAAGATAACGATTGACATTGCATTTAAATTTTTGAAGCTCAAAGTTGACTGGGAGCAAGAAGCCTGAGGAGTGTTACACAAGTGAGAAGTGCGATAGAAGAAATTGTTAGCATAGAACTTATGGTTATATTTAGCCATTTCAATTGTAAAATTATGAGACCTGACCGCGAATTTAGTACTACGCTAAAAAATCATATTGTCTAAGTACCATAGAGGAAAGTTGACGAGAACAATTACCGTGAAAATATTTATAAAAATGATACAGAGAAGCTAAATTACTGATGCCGAAATGCCAGGTCAGAATCAATAACATTGCAGATTCTTCTTTGGATTTTATCAAGAATCTCTAAACATATAGCAGAAACACCAGACCAGATGTTGGAAAGCAATAATCAAAACAAGAAACGAATGGTAGACTTATAAATATGTAAGATATATTCTAGTGAGAAAAATTGTTTAGCATAACACAGTGAACGAACTTACTTAGCTGCAGATTTCGCAAGAGATTCAACGTTCCGCATATCTCACCGGGCATTCCACGCATTATTCATATTGACTTTATCAATTCCCCCGTAAATTATAGAAACATTTTGTATATCTGCGTTCACTGATTAACCTATTAATAGTTTATAGATAGAAAACCATAATTCATACAAAATTTTATAAATCCATATTTATTTCTACAATTAATAGCGGATTTTTATTTTTATTTCTTTAATTAATACTGGATTTTTATTTTTATTTCTGTAATTAATACCGGAATTTTAACAAATTAAGACCTGATTCTTTTTTAGAAACCAATAATTAATACCGGAGTTTTTAAGAAGCTATAATGAATACCATTTTTTTATTTTACATATACGCTCTTAAATAGGAGCGAGAGGGAGTCGTCAGTGATGTAAATTGACTTGGTTCATCAGGGAGTTTCGAGTCTTTCAACATCATACACACCATCACCAAGCCGACCCCAATCAGGGGAGATCAATCCCTGATTACCTTTCGCAATCAAACGCTAGCAAAGACACTGGGCTTTTAATAATTTGAATGAAAATAGACCTCGTTTTCCGCGCACCCGATTGGACGTTTGTACCAATCCACTACGCGAACTGACTTTTAATTTTAATAAATAATATCGAAATATTTTAAATGGATAATAAACGGTATCTTATAAACCTATAATTATTACCGAATTTTCATTTTAAACATAATTATTACTGGATTTTTATTTTAATTTCTGTAATTAATATGTTTTTTTATAAAGCTTTAATTAATTTCAATCTTTCTAATTAATACCAAATTTTAATGTAGACATTAATTTCTTAATCAGGATCAGTACAAAAACTATTTGTCTGGCACATTATAAATTTATGGAAATGTTTCTTTTCTCAGTGGCCACCCTGCATACTGGTCTAGAAGGTTACCACTAGAAACAAGCTTAATTAAAATGATAGTGTCGAATATTGATTTTCAAGGCATGATAGCACTCCTAAGTATGCAAATTGCCACAACACAATCTACATCTCTCTATCTGACCTTGTGTCAGACGAGAAAAAAATCTGATCAATATAAATATATCTCTCTGTCTGTTGGAAAAACATGTATTATCTTAAAACCTAAAAAGTCATTTTATTTAACTCCCATATCTGTCGACCCGATAGTCATGGAATCGAATTTCTTCCAACCTGAAATGGTAAAATGTCCGTTATAATCACAGTTATAGGTTACTATTCTAGATGGCTTTTACAGCATGAATGTCAGTGTCTTATATGATTCTCGCCCTAAGAACTCTATCTTAAGTCTATTTCCGACTGTTGTAAACAACGGTATTTTTATCACTCTCTTAATTGTAATGGCTATTGACGTGGATATTTCTTCCGACACTGATGTCTTCCGAGGAATTGCATGCAGGGGCATATAATATGCGATCTGTATTTGCTGTCGTGTTATTATTGTCAGTTTAAGTAAAGACAGAATAATGTTTCTGGCATAAGGCCAACAATAACAGCGAATTAATGACATGCTTTGAAATAAAAGCCGGATAACTATTGAAACACTTTTCTCAGTAAGAACCTTCTGATGCAATAAGATTTACAAGCAGATACATGGACTCGATATTTTGCGAAATAATTTATTCAAATTAAGTAGGAAAAAATACTAA